CTCTGAGTTTAGGGATGTAACTCTGATTGAAGCAGCTCTAGAGAGGAAATAGTGCAGCAGTGTGAGGCAGCAGGTATGCAAATGTGTCACTTGATGATGTCAGTAAGTAACAAAAGAAAAGCCTGGACTTTAAATGAGGAGTTGCAGACAAGTCAGGAGCAGATGTTTCATACAAATGTCAAGCAAGTTTGACTAAAATTTGTTAAACGTCACAAAAGCAAAAACAAAGAAAGAAAATCTGAATTTGATTTGTTTCCATTTGATGTGAACAAGCTAGACTGCGTAGAGTCGTCGGAAGGTGGCGCTATAGGTTACATGGCTGTAATAAACAGAGGAGAAGAAGCTGGAAGGAGAAAAGAAACAAAACTGTGTCCATTTATGGGAGGAAATGATTAAAAAAAAAAAAAAACACATCAAGTGAGGGTAAAAAATGTTGTTTTATTCTTTTATTTATCAGGAAGTATGCAAAAAGAGAGAGATGAAATTGTCAGATTGTCAACTTCCAGATTGTCCTTAAACTTCTCACCTGTGACCTAAAATCATCCATCCATCCATCCATCCATTATCTATACACCACTTAATCCTCACTAGGGTCACAGGGGGCTGGAGTCTATCCCAGCTGACTTATGGTGAAGACAGGGGACACCCTGGACAGGTCACCAGTCTATCACAGGGCCACACTTAGAGACAGACAGCCAAGCACACTCACATTCACACCTAAAAACAATTTAGAATCACCAATTAACTTCAACATGTTTTTGAACCTTGTGGGAGGAAGCTGCAGAACCCGGAGAGAACCCACACTGCACGGGGCGAACATGCAAACTCCACGCAGAAAGCTCCCAGGTGTCCTCACTGGAACACAAACCGGCGACCTTCTCGCTGCGAGGCAACGTTGCTAACCACTGCACCACCTTTCAGCCCCATCAAAAATCATTTTTCATCAAAATCTATTCATACATGTCTTGTTTAAAAATATCAAAAGTAAACCACGCGCACTAACCAGATTATGATGAAAACAAAAAATTCTACACTTCACAGCACAACTGAAAAAACTATTGCTGACCGACAGTCAGACGACAAATTTCTCAAACCACTCGGCTGAACTGCAGGCAGTGTTTAGCAAGAGTGGAGAGGAGGCGGGCATGAAAACAAATTTAAAATGTCAGTTGTCAAGTATTTATATGTGGAGGCACCATTTTTTCCAGTGATGATAACACCTGTAGGCACTTGGAAAAATGCTGCTCATGTTGAGTCTAGGGTTTTTTTTAGTTTATTTTTTAAAATTAATTATCAAAGAAATTGAATTTCAATTATTTTTTAATGATTTATGACATTGTAACTGTGTCATACTAGACAGGAGACATTTCTGAGTTCTCTCTACTTGTAGCCATGGTTGTGCTGTTTCCACAGAGCTGCAAGACTTTATATTGCAGTGCAGAATGAGCCCACAGTGAGGAAAAATGTGACAGGCGTAAATAAATAAAACGCCCAAAAACTGCTTGGGGTTCAGAAGGTTGATTATAACCGGTGTGAGCATGCTCACATTTGAT